ACCCACACTCACACACACATATACCCACACTCACACACATGCACCCACACTCACACACACATGCACACAATAATAATAATTAACAAAAATAAATAAAACTGTGACAGAGCACAAGAACTCATGCCTTTGATGCCAGCATTTGGGAGGCAGATACAGGAGGGTCTCTGTGAGTTCGAAGCCAGCCTGGCCAACACAGCCAGTTCCAGGTCAGCAGGGACGACACTGTGAGACCCTGTCTCGAACAAATGAGTAAAATACTAATAAAGGAATCAGAGCGAAAGTCCTAAGTGGTATATAAATTCAATACTGAGATGACTTAGCTCTTTCAATCCAGAGTATAAATGGACAGGACAACTGATTTGGGTGCCTTTAATCCTTTGAGGAAGGCTTCTTGATGTAATATTGGGGGCGGTGTTTCTGGCTCGGTAAGGTGGTATGCATCTATAATCATAGCACTAGGGAGTCTGTACCAGAAGGATGATAACTTGAAGGCCAGGCTAGGCTACATACAGAATTTAAAGCCAAGTTAGATTACGTAGCAAATCCCTGTCTCAAAAAAATTTTTTTTTTGTCCAGTGTTGATATTCTACAGTAGACCTTAGTACACACCAGGAACAGCGAATCGGCTGGCGGTGTCTTTAAACATTTAAAAGTAAAGCCCAGGGGGTTAGGGCGTCCACACACTATCTGACCCTGGGCGGGAACTAATTGGCTCAGTGGGCCTGGAGATGAGGGGAATGGAAAGCAGAATTCTGTCTTTCACCTTCCCCCAGCCAACCAGTCTCTGGATTGAGAGTTGAAGGGGATTATTTGAAATATGACGGCCAAGTTCCTTTCCACCTCCATCTCCACCAACCAAGGCGCAGCATCCTGCAGAAAGGGAGCCGAGGCCTGAAGCTTCTGGAAGACTAGTCAGAAGAATAGTCCTGTCTAGTGCAGACAAAACACCCGTTGTCTCCACACAAACACACAATCCCTTACCTAACTCCCACTTGTATGTCTGGTCCCATGATGTGGTGGCTGATCTTACCCCTTTGGAACAGAAACAGGGAAGTGTCAACTCTCTCTCTCTCTCTCTCTTTCCCTCTCTCTCTCTCCCTCCCTCAGAACACGCTCTCACTACATAGCCCCGGCATCCTTAGAGCTGGCTAGGTGGACCAGGCTAGTCTGGAACTCACAGAGATCCAGCTACCTCAGTGGAGTGTCCCCCACCCGCAAGGCTGGGATCCAAGGCCTGTGCCACCACAGCCATCCTTGTCAAAGGCATTATTCTCAAATACCTTCTTCTGTCCTGTGGCAGGCCTCTTGGTGGCCTCTTTGGAAGGCTCCGGTCATCTGTCTCACCATGGGCTGCTGGGGAGCGTCAGGATCTTATGCACTGTGTGAGCTTCATGCGCTACAGCCCCAGCCCTAAGGTCTTCATTTTATTTGTCTGCTTTTGTTTTTTGAGATAGGAGTCTCACTATGTAATCCTGGCTGTCCTAGAACTCACTTTGTAGACCAGGCTGGCCTCCAACTCACAGAGATCCATCCGCTTCTGTACTCTTGAGTGCTGAGATTAAAAGCCTTCACTAGCACAAAGTTTTAATTTTGATGAAGTTCTTTTGGCTATACTTTTCATGTCATATCTGAGGTGTCCTAAGCAAACCTAGTGCCAAATTTCTTCTGAAATTTCCTTCTAAGAGCTCTCTCTCTCTCTCTCTCTCTCTCTCTCTCTCTCTCTCTCTCTCTCTCTCTCTCTTTCTCTCTTGACTGGATTTCTCTGTGTAATAGCCATGTTTGTCCTGGAACTTGCTCTGTAGACCCAGGCTGGTCTCGAACTCACAGAAATCTGTCTGCCTCTGCCTCCCTCCGGAGTGCTGGGATTGAAGTGTGTACCACCACACCTGGCCACCTTGGGTTAATTTTTGTAGTAAAGTGTAGGTTAAAGGTCCAACTTCATTCTTATGCATTTAAATATCCATGTACTTTGTATCCCTAGCCTTTATATTCCCATGTGCATATATTTATTTTTTGTCACATATTTACGTTTGTAATAACTGCACCCTATATTTTCATTGAAAACTTTCATGTAGAGATAAAAAAACATTTTGTGCATTAAATTGTTAGTAAACTTATGATGTGGGCTGTTGAAAGGGAGAGATTTTTAACTCAGTAAGACTGTGTCTGTAGACTATATAGAGTGAGTATAAATTGCACCACCAATATCTTAGCTGCTTATAAAAGTATCAGCTTTGTGGTGAAAGAGAACACTAGAAGCCGTATTTTAAAACGAAGCAGTGAAAGTGATTGTTAGATAAAACATTAAAAAAAAAAAATTAGCCAGGCAGTGGTGGCGCATGCCTGTAATCCCAGCACTCGGGAGGCAGAGGCAGGTGGATCTCTGTGAGTTCAAGGCCAGCCTGGGCTATAGAGTGAGTTCCAGGACAGGCTCCAAAGAAACCCTATCTCAAAAAACCAAAAAATAAATAAATAAATAAATAAATAAATAAATAAATAAATAAATAAATAAATAAATAAATAAATAAAAATTAGTGTGTGCTTGACTAAGATCGTGGCTTGTGCCATTAAAGTCTTTATAATTAGAAACTGAATCTAAGCCAGACATGGTGGTGGCATACGTCCTTAATCCTAGCACTGGGAAGCAGGCAGTTCTCTGAATTCGAGGCCAGCTTGGTCTACAGAGCGAGTTCCAGGACAGCAAGGGCTACACAGAAGAAATCCTGTCTCGAAAAACCAAAAATTAAAATAAATATGTAAATAAATAAAATGGTAGTTCAAGCCGGGTGGCAGATGCGCACACCTTGAATCCCAGCACTCGGGAGGTAGAGCAGGTGTTTCTCTGGGGGCAGCCAGGGCTACACAGAGAAACATTGTCTCGAAAAACAAAAACAAAGAAAACTAAACAACAACGACAAAAAACAAAAAACGAAACTGAATCTAAAAGTACAGTCTGATAATCACGTGGAATAAGGGTTTTCTTGGCGGCTTACTGTAAGTCATTTTCGTTTTCTCCCCGGAGTTAACCCGTGGGACCTCAAAGCTGCCGCCACTCTCGGGCAGGCACCACGGACATCCTTCCCATCTGCATGCCTGCATCCTTGGCTGCCGTCCTCCTGGCTCCACGGGGGCCGCCGGGCTGCCTTGCCGTCCTCCCTGCAGGAAACATTTGGAATGACTCCTGCCAACTCAAATCAACGCTTTGCGGGGAGATCTAATTCTGCTTTTCCCATCCCAGTGATTCTCACCCCTTCCGGAGGGTAAACTGGGGCGGACAGAGGAGCTCCTCGCTGAGCTGGGGACACGGGGAGGACCCGGAAATGTTTACAGGCCCAGCCTCTGAGGTTAGGCCTAGTCAGCGGGTTAACGACCCAGAGGGACAAATACCCTCTCCTGTCATTTATGCAAATGCTGACTCCTGATTGGTGCATTCCAAGACGGCAGAGGCCACCTCGGTCAGTATGCGCTGGTGGCTAAATATTCCGGCTTAGCTGATTGGTGATAGTTGAAAAAAAAAAAAGCAGAAAGGAACCTCCAAGGATTTTTATGCCTGAAGTCTCTTTCAGGCAAGTTAAAATTACGTAATATGTATGCTTTCAGTGAATATCTGTAAAGCTAATTTTTCTAGATGCTTACACGTAGCCCAAGCAGTGGGGAGAGGTCGTGATACATAGGAAGAAGCCGAGGGCTTGGATTCAGAACAAGTGCTGGTCCTTTGTCTTTTGAAGTAACTGACCCTAAGTGTAGGATAAATATATTGTGGAGTGGTATTTGTTAACTTTAAAACAAATTTGTCCGGTACATTTGCCCTGGGGCTGCTGCTCCTGCAGAGGGTTGGATTCCCAGCACCCCACATGGCTGCTCACAACCCCGAGCAATGCATTCAAATGGCACAGAGACACAGGGGCAGGCAAAACACCTAAGTGAAAGTCAGCAAATATTTCTTAAAAGTCACCCCTTTGTGGCCATGTATTCCTTTAACAGTTTATTTTTTATTTATATTTATCTATTTATTTATTTTGTTTGTTTGTTTTCCGAGACAGGGTTTCTCTGTGTAGCCCTGGCTGTCCTAGATCTCACTTGGTAGTCCAGGCTGGTCTCGAACTCACAGAGATCCGCCTGGCTCTGCCTCCCGAGTGCTGGGATCAAAGGCGTGTGCTGTCGCTACCACCACCCAGCTCTTTAACAGCTTATTTGTATTTTTAATCTTTATAGTAAAATGACAATTACCTTTGCTTTATTTGTAACTGGCCACCATTTTAAGTGTCTATGTTATTACCTGGTTATAGAATTAATTTTGGTCAGTACAACCTCATGAAAATTTGTTATTTTCTATAAGCCATTAACTACCAACTGAATGGTGGTGACTGCTTTCAGTTTGGATGGATGTGCTTACTATCCAGTCTATTCTCTAACTTGGGGAAGAAGATAAAGATGTATTAATTCTTAAGTAATTTTAAGAATCATGTCTGTTTCTATATAAAGAACATTCAGGGGCCATTGAGATGGATAAAGGTACTTGCCACACAAGCCCGATGACCTGACTCTGATCTTCCTACCCCACATAAAGGTAGAAGGAGAAAATGGACTCCACAAAAATATTGTCCTTCAGCTTCCACGCATGGGTCATGGCACATGCCCTCCGCCTCTGACAATACTAATATTAATATTAATAAAGAACATTAGAGTCAAACATAGAGGCATAGATGACTGCCAAGAGATCAAGGTCAGCCTGGACTACATTGGGAGACTGTCTTAGGGTTTCTATTGCTGCGGAGAGACACCATGACCACGGCAACTCTTACAAAGGAAAACATTCAATTGGAGTGGCCCACTTACAGTTCAAAGGTTTAGTCCATCATCTTATTATCAAAGCATGGCGGCATGCAGGCAGACATGGTGCTGGAGAAGGGACTGAGAGTTCTTACATCTTGACCCACAGGCAACAGGAAGTGGTCTGAAACACTGGGCATGGCTTGAGCATATATGAGACCTCAAAGCCCACCCCCACAGTGACACACTTCCTCCAACAAGGTCACACCTACTCTAACAAAGCCACGCCTCCCAAGAGTGACACTCCCTATGAGATTATGGGAGTGGCACAATTACATTCAAACCACCACAGAGATCTTCACTCAAAAATATATTTTTTTTGTAAAAGAATATTCAAAGCTAGGGAAGTAGGTCAATAGTAGAGTGTTTGTAGTGTGCACAAGGCAGGTTCAGTCTTTAGTACGCAGGATAAAAAAAGAATATTCAAGCCCTATAAAACATAACCTCCCTAATCAGCATGTGTTGGTCTGATACCACATTTAATATAATTTATAAGAACACAAAGACAAGCTGGGCGGTGGTGGCACACGCCTTTAATCCTAGCACTCTGGAGGCAGAGGCAGGTAGATCTCCGAGTTCAAGGCCAGCCTGGTCTACAGAGCAAGTTCCAAGACAGCCAGAGCTACACAGAAACCCTGTCTCGAAAAACAAAACAACAAACAAAACAACATACAAGACAAAGTCCCTTACGCAATCTTAACTTGGTTTGTTTCCTTGTTTTTGTTGTTTGTTGATTTATACAGGGTCTCACTGTATAGCTCTGGCTGGCTTGGAATTCACTGAGAGCCAGCTGCCTCTGCCTGCTAAGTTCTGGGACTAAAGGTGTGTGCCACCATGTTCTGCTCTGTGTTTTATGAAAGGGTCTCCTGATCCCCCTACCTCAGTCCCTCTAGTGCTGGGATTACAGGTCACCAACCCCAGCAATTTTACCCCTTTGGTAACAACTTGTTTGTTGGAGCCATGGAGAGAGAGAACTGGAATGTGCCTGTGAAAGGCGAAGACAATAGAGAGGACCAGCCTGTCTGAGTCTGCCTGTGTCTGGAGGGACAGGTGGCCCAAGCTGCTGCAGCAGGAAGGGAGGGGAGGAAGGAGAAGAAGGGTGAGGGGCATGTCACTGAGATGTCAGGGCCAATGCTAACAATCACATTAGGACCGACATGAGTCAGGAATGAAGATACCAAAAAGATGCTTTCCTAGACCAGACAAAGAACTTAGATGAGTCAGACTGCCCCGGGGGAAAAGCACGGATGTCATCTCTGAGTCAGATTCTGTACACAAGTAAATGCATTCTGAAAACTCCAATGGCTTGATGACCAAGAGTTTTCCATGATTCTCACTATCTTTAAAAAAAAAAAAAAAAAATCTGATGTTTCCTGACTAGTTGGTCTGTGTAATCACCATTCTAAGCATTTTACTTGTATATATAAAAAATTCTTTGCAGTCACCCTATGAGACGAGTTACTTATCTGTAGTTTGAGGACAACTGAGAATGATACAGCAGAGGTTAGCCAGCTTGTCACAGTTCCTCATGCAGCCCAGGACGCTTGCCCCCGGAGTTCACACTGCATATGCTGTGGGTCCCTACAATTTTAATTCATGTCTATAGTTTATTATTTTACTGAGCTTGGTCTAGGCTTGAAAGGGATGATTGGAGACATGCATATCTTGTCCAGATATTAGCTATTTTAACTTTTGTTATGAGGAACACAATTAGAGATAATTTTAAGGAAGTGTAATTGAAGGGAAACAATTCTTTTTATTTTTTCTTTTCTTTTTTTTTTGGGGGGGGTGGTTGAGACAGGGTTTCTCTGTGTAGCTTTGCGCCTTTCCTGGATCTCACTCTGTAGCCAAGGCTGACCATGAACTCACAGAGATCCACCTAGCTCTGCCTCCCAAGTGCTGGGATTAAAGGCGTGCGCCACCACTGCCTGGCACTTGTAGCTGTCATCAAGAGATGGCCTCCTTCCTAAGGACTTGGGTGAAGATTGCTGTGTTTAGTGTTGTCCCACACCTAAATGACAATTGATTAGTCTAGTGTGACATCTCTCCATTGTGGCCAGTTGGAGCCTTTCACTAGGGACTGAAAAAGAAACACCTCTTTTTGTTTATTATTTAATTTATAGTAAATTAATTAGTGACAGGGCCTCACCGTGTAGCTTTGGGTGGCCCAAACTCACAGTGTAGACCAGGCTGGCCTTGAACTCCCAAAGACCTGCTTGCTCCTGCCCCTTGAGCGCCACCATGCCCAGTTAGTTTTTAATTTGAGAGCTGTTAGGGTATCCTGTGGTTAGAGAGGCAGACCAACCCCATGGAGATGGCTCATTGGTTAGAGACTCTTGCCACCAGCCTGAGGTGGATCCTGTGGTGAATAGAGAGAATTGATTCCCACATGTTGCCTTCTGACCTCCACATTCCTGTATGGCACAGTGTGGCGCACCACACACACACACACACACACACACACACACCACAATAAATAAAAAAAAAATGTAATTTAAAAGGAAAGAGCCTGATTGTCAGTAGATGGAGAGAAGCCCGTCTATAAAGAGAGAGGAGACAAAAGAAGGCATGTCCATTCAGCATTCCCGGGCTCCTTATGTCCAGTTTCATTTGCATCTGGGTTCTATGAGACACTTCTCTGCTTACATATTTTTAAATACTTATCAAACCCCTCCCCTGTGTTTAAAGTTTATTTGGTGTTAGCGCTGGCATGACACTTGGGTAGCTGGTTGCATTGTTCACACACAGATTTCTCTCTTTACATTCTATAACCGTGTACAGTACTGATACACACACACACACACACACTCGAGAGCAGTCCTGCACACAGCGTGCAGTGATGTATGTATACTCTTGAGCCCAGGAAGTGACTGACGGGGGAAACTGGAGCAGGCACGCTTGGAGAAGTGATGTAGCGCTACGAGACGCATCGGGTTTGAAGGGCGGCTAGGGCCAGTGCAGAGTTGGCGTCTCAGGAGTGGGGACTCCTGACACGGACCTGTGTAGCACCGCCCGAGCGCCACTCAGTAGCCATGTCCAGCTGTAAGGGTTTCTAAGTGTGGGAAACTGAGGTCCATCCCCCGACGTCACCATACAACTGCACCTATCACAGATCAGACCACAAAAGGACATGCCTGACCTCCAACAGAAATTCTACGGCAGCCTAGGCAGGGGCATCGTGTGACATTAGAAGACTTGGAGTGGCGGCTGTTTCTGGGTCCTCCTGAAGTCTGTCTGTCTGCACCCTTCCTCAAGCCTCTCCATCAGGAGTCAGTCATCTTCTCAACACAAGGGTCTGGTTTTTTTTTTTTTTTTTCCAAGAAGCACAGAGCACTAAGGAAGACCGCTATTAATCATAGCAGAGACTGGATGTACCTACCTAAGATCCTTCATTTTACTTCCCGCCAAATCTGCCCCAGAAACTCCAGTGGTCCAGGGTGGGCATCCTTTCAGCTGGATAGCCTTGTTGTCACTGGCAACCACCTGCTTG